ATACATTTGCTAATTTACGCGGCAGTGTTTTCGAATGTCACTTTCTTAACATCGGAATACTTGAATACATCGGAATACATATATATGTCATTTCATGTAACATATCGATTTGTTAATATCAAATGAAATATAATAACTTCCCGATGGAAAGTGTTTAAGGAATTATGTTATTAAGAATCCCGCTGTAAGAAAATTTATGAATATTTTAAACCCATTTCCAAAAATGATGGAGGTAGGATGTCATATATTGACAGCATCCCACTAGTGTTGATGCGACAGCAAGTACTTTTTTCAATTGTTTGAATCGACTACGTAATATTACATTACTACTTAAACACGCATAAGTGTTACCAACCAGCAAAACTATTCTCCAATGCAATGATTCGTACTTAAACACAAGTTTAACACAGCACTCACGTTACCCCTACAATAACAGCCTTATCTTTATCCATACGATTTTATTTAATGATCTAATTTTTAGAACATATTTTATTAAAGAAACGAGTGGTGTTAAAACATCACGAACTTTCTCGCCTGTATTTTCACGCAAAATTGGTTTACGCGCCAGAACCTTTCAGAGTATTTTGTCCTCGATTAATTTGCCCGAACTCGTAGTTGCGCGTTTTTATATTTTTGGTGATACTATATATGAAGTTCCAACAATATTTTCAAAATTTCTCCAAAGGAAGAGGAAGGAAAGATCGCGCGCGGTCCCGGAGGTTATAATGGTACTGTTCCGGCATCCACCTGGTACTGGTCGGTGGAACTACGCAAAACTACCGATTAGAGCAGCTGGCCGCTGGAATTATCCTCCTATCAGCGCCTCGCTATTCAGCTAGTTGAAAATCCTGCCACCGTTGGGATTCGAACCAAGGACCTCTCGTTCAGAGGCACTGCAGTGACATCATTGTCACCCTGCGCCACCTCTCCCGGTGTTACCGAGGCACTTGCGGTTTTTTATGTACTTTCATTCAAAAGTTCTCTTTATGCTTTGCACTTCATAATACGTAGAAACATATTGAAATATATAACCGTGTCCTTGCTCACCCTTGTTCATAGTAATTCACAACGTTTCACGAACGCAATCGTAGCTGCATTGAAATCTGATTACATATATGGTGAATGCTATTTCCTTTTAGTATTATAATATGATAATTAATATCTTCATCATTATAATTATATCATCTTACTCATTACACTAACTGAAATAATACAATATCACTCGTCTTCTTTTCAACATAAATAATTTCGTTCATATATTAAACAAGTCTCTTTTCTTTAACTCCCCTGGCAACATATTTTACACAATTTTATAACAATATGCGTCTCATACCACACTTCGTCCCACAGAACCATCAGAAACGTCTTTTTTGTAATTTTTACAGATTATTCCAGGGAGAATTGTTCCAATCGATTGTGTGTCATTTATCACCTACAATGCGTTTTATTTTCCTAAAAATTGCAAAAAGACATATTCTTAGATAAAATTAATAAAATCGTCGGGATAGGTCCACAAACAATCTGTTCCTCACCGTAAAACCGAGATGACTTCTCATTTGTCTCGGTTGGTGAACAAATTGATTTGATTTATTGAGTTAAAGAACAGTCAAAACTATGTGACGAATGGCAGAGAAGAAACATGTGCGTATGTTTTGTTAAGAATATGTTCACAACATTTTAACTATAATTAGTTGAATGATGAATAAAAATTTCAAAAAATCCGGAAAGGATCCAACTGTGACTGAACGAAGCGGACAGACGGACGCACACACGGACGGACGCATAATTACTTTATAAGGATACTTTGTAACTCTTCTAAATAATGGAAGAAGGTATGTGCTACAGAAAAAGCACTACTAGTTTTCCGAATTCATGGAAACATTCAAATTCATATTCTTGGGGTCATTCTCAATATGTGATGCGGCAGCTATGTTGACATATGTTGCTCCAGAGTTTTGATTACTTTGCGGTACTGAGTTGCTTTATCCGGTTATGATATCTTTCGGATACGCGTACAGCAAAGTCAATTTTGTCGAACGCGTGCCACAAAGAAACACAAATAAACAAATAGTAACGACCAGTATTAGTTTCCATTCATGAATGCTGAGAAGATGAATGAAATTCATGATAAAATTCAACAAACCCATCAAGTTATCGTAAACGCAATCTACAGACTTTTTCTAAAGACGTATTCGTATGAACAAGCACCTTATGCGAAACTTCAAAAGTTACGTGAATTTCAAAAGTTACATAAAACGTGAAGCTGAGCATGCAATATATATAATAGTGTGATTAATGATTTCGTGTTTAAGGGCGCGTCAACGGCAATGGCGATTAGTCCCGTAAGTGTAGTGCATGCTTTTTTGTAGCTGATGCAGGAGAAGTAGCACCAGCAGTAGCAGGATGAGGGGGAAATCATCCCCCACAGGAAGGTGAAAACCGACGTCGACTACCGGGATTTGCGCCAACCAGGCGGGACGTCACCCCAGCAGCGAAAAGTAAGTTCCTCATTGGTCTCCGTACATGTGTAATAATATAATGTATTTTGTGATTCCTGGTGCGTCATCTGCAAAGTTTGTTAGTCCCGTAAGTGTAGTGCATGTTTATCGCGGGGGGTGGCGGTATTCTTTCCCCGCAGGATGGCGAGATTCGTCGCTGACCTTCGTCGGCTTGCGGTGATTTACCCCAACCAGATTTCTTCCACCAGCGGGGCTTCACCCCAGCCGCGACAAGCTCTGGTCTCCCGACATGTGTGGTAGTGTAGTGCATGGGGATATGTGTATAAGTAAGGGCTGAGGAAAGGACAAGGGAGAGGAAGGAAGGAGGGAAAAATCGCACGAGGTCCGTGGCCCGTTTCTTAGGGTACTGCTCCGACATTTACCAAGTGTTAATTGGAGAAAAGTACGGAAAACTACAGATCAGTGCAGCCGAACGACAGAATTCTCCTCCAGACAGCGGTCGAAGACAGAGGCCTAGCTATCTAGCTAGTCTCAAAAATTCTGCCCCAGAACCTGCCAGTCAAAGCAGGATAGTACAGGATAGCAGGCAAAACATTTTTGTTTAATTCTCTCAATTTTAGAAAAATGAAAAAAGTTGAAAAGAAAGCGAGAATGTTACTGCGGTTTTAGTTCCACTTGTTTTATATGCCTTAAATTATGGGCCTACATTAAAACAGATAGGCTCTAAGGGCGCCTGTCTTTGCGCCGAAAAACAGATGTTTTGGTAATGTTCACTGCAACAGTTGACATAAAAAAATTGCCGGCCTCCATTATGTTTAAGAAGAGTATACTATCAAAAGATAAATTATCGAAGGGTATTCTCGTAAGAGTAGAGGAAAGGGTTAAAGGGATTCAATCCTCATGAAGTATTAGTTGGAAATTGACAGAAATCGTAGGCCCGGTTACTGTCTCAACCAACATTTATAAGGAATCTTGAATGCGATGGACGGGACGGAAGGCGAACTGCCATAAAAACGATAAAGGCACTGCTAACAAAGCTGATGTTGACTGTCCTGATGACACAAATGTGGATGACTTCACATATGAAGAAGACGACCATTTGGAGAGGTATATAATACTACGAACAATATTTTTTGCAATAGTGAATCAATACTGCTTATTCTCTGCACTTATCAGTGACAGCAAATCTTTAGAAAATTGCAGTTAGGATGTTGAAAAGTAACAATCTATATCATTTTGAAACATTGATAAGTAGAACATTATTTTTAAAAATTTCGCTTGATTTTGCGATACTCCTCTTTTAGTCCTCCCTCAATATTTTGTTGCTTATTTTTGGAAACAGGGGAGGCTTACATTCGAGAAAATACGGTTTATAAATTTTATATTGTTTGTACATATTGTATAATTAATGAAAACACTATCCTGACATAAACAGACTTGTAATATACTGGATGTCCAAAGAGAAAATATCGAATTATCAAAATTTCAAAATTAAGCTCTGAAGACAATTGTAAGCATATTTTGTGTAATAAACTACGCGGATATTTTGAAAGGATGAGCCGCAAGAAGCACTCAAAAGGTGGTTTGAAAAAATGCTTTCTAGGCAAAAATTTGCATTATAAAAGCATAGTCAGCCCAAAAACATGAAAAGTGTTTATTATTTACAAAAGAAATATATATATATGTTTCCGGAAAGAAATATTAATTCGAAAATAAAAAAGCAACCAATTTACACAATGCGCCTGCTTTTTTTAAAATTTCTCGCTTAGTTTTTCTTTATGAACAAATATATTAATTTCTTTTGTAAACAATAAAGAATTTGCATGTTTCTGGGGTGTTTCTATGCATTTATAATGCAAATTTTTGCCTAGAAATCATTTTCTCAAGCCAACTTTTGAGTGCATCCTGCGGCTTCCTATAAACCGGAAGTAACATTGTTCGGTCCGCAATTGCATTTGACAGGTCCCACTGTTTCATCAACACTGTTCGGCCGATACAGTGGGGTAGGTACTCAGCGCGCGTAAGAGACGAACTATGCAACGTATGAAGATGGAGGATTCGACTGACGATAACAAAACCCTGTGAATTTTGAGTTGACACACACGACAGCCAATCCGTAGAACGTACGAAGTAATTTCAAAGACGTCAAATGATATAAAATTAGGTGCTGGGAGTTAACGTACCGAGGTGCTAAATAATGTTCGATAATATCGCTCTCACGTGTAGTTTAAATTATATTTAGAAAGCCAGTGAATATTTTTCATTCCGAAACATGAAATCCAGCGTTAGTTCCTTCTGATTCGCGCATTTGTCACGGCCCTCAAAAGCCGGCAGCCAAGCACAAAAATGCAGTGCGTAGCCGTATCGGAGCCGATCGCTAGCGAGCCGCAAGTGTTACTGGCTGTGCAGAGCGCAGGATTGCATGGATACGGCGACGGACGGTCGTGTCGGGCACGCGGGCAGGCGCGCGTTCCAGTCGTTGCGAGATCGCGGTTTTAGAGCGCGCCGCCTCTGCTGCCGCCGCTCACCTGCTACGCGAACTTCCCGCGGCGAGCACTGGCGGCGTCCGTCGCCCGTCGGCGAGGCCGATCAGCGCCTCGCGCTGCTGCCGCCGAGACGCGCACTGCCGCAATGAGTGCGAGTGCAGCAGCGGGCCTCAACCGGACCGACGTTGCGCGCGGCGCGGGGCGGCGCGGTGTGGTGTGGCGCGGGGCGGCGCGGTGTGGCGCGGAGCGGCGCGGTGTGGCGCGGCGCGGTGTGGCACGGTGCGGCGCGGTGTCTCTGCCTGGCGAACGCAAGCGGCCGATTGGGATCGCTCGCAAACGCTCACTGCTCATCGCTTCTCGCTCTTGCTCACTCGTGGCTGCTCACGGCCACGTCAGAGCCCCCTCCCCGCGCCTCACCGCACGCGCCGGGGCCCCCGCCTTGGCCGGCGCGGCTTCTTCCGCCACCGCCTAGCCGTCACCGCCAAACATCTTGACGCACCACGCAGGCCGTCTCAACTGTCGTGCTGCACTACGAGCCTCTTGTCGTCGCACCGTCCCTGTCGTTGCTTTAACCAGCGTAATAAGTGAAATCGTCTGTTGTACGAGTACTATTTCCGCTCCACGCTCTCAGAAATTTACCAACATATTTGTATTCTCAAACTCAATTTTTTAAAAACAACTTCTATATAAATATTTCTCTGGAACTTCCGTTCTTTTAAACTTTCTCTTAAAATTTTATTTCGATTTAATACACAGCTGCCGGGGCCCCCCTTGTGCAAGAAATAGGAATTGCAGAATTCATGATTGGCTTTGTGAATCAAAGCATTAAGTATTAGGCTATATCGAGAGTTCTTTCTCCTTCTCTTATTTATATCCTTTTCTCTTTAATCATCTTTTTATTTCTCATTCTTTCTTCTTTTTTAAATTCCCCTCGTCCTTCTCCTTCCTGTTCTTTTACTCGTCGGTGGCTCAGCTGAAACTAATGTGGATTGTCACGATTGCTGCGATTGTTACAACGCGAACGTGTAACGTATAAATGTTAAGCACGCTGGCTAACAAAACAGTTGACCCGATGCTCAGCTTTTATTAACCGATTCATTACTAAAATCTGTGGTTCATTAGGCTCATTGGTCAATTTTTCGTACAGAATTAAGAACTGAATAAAGAGCAGTAACTATGAGTTAAATAACTATATTTTCTTTTGGTAAAAAGAAAGATGATAAATATTGCGTTCTTAACGTAAAAAAACTATCGGAAAATATAACTTATGTAAAATTTCGTAAATTTCTTCGTAATCAAATTAAAGTAGTTAGCTCACTTAAGAACCTCTTCAAAGTTAAAGTAAGGTATCACTGTCAAAGGTAAATATTCTTTAAAATAGGGAACTTTAATCCAGCTACAGATAAAATGTTTTTGCGAATGGCAACAGTGCACTTTGACTGAAGGTTTAGTGTAGAAGTATCTTGTTGGGGTGTTCTGTTATCTCAATTATTTTCCGTACAGTTGTATAAAGATTTTCATGTGAAGTGTTAAGTAACCCTCGGTGATATGAAATTATTAATATAAGAAGAACGAATAGAAAAATAAGAAACAGAAGAAAAAGATAAGTAGAAGAACAAAAGAGAAGTGAAAGAAAATAAAAGAAATAGAAGAAGGAAGTGAAGTAGTGTAACATAAAGAAAAAACTAGAGGAAGACGAGAAACAAAAGAAGATTAATGCTCTTTCTGAGCAAATTCACTGATAAGATGATTAATCCCGTTAGTTTAGACTGTTTTATCGCAGGAGGTGGCCATATTCCTCCTCGTTAGAAGGTGAGATCAGGCGCCGACCTACGCGCCGGCTGGCGGAAAATTTCCTCCTCCACCCCGCAGGATATAGTCCAAACCGGGTCAGACTCTACGCTCTCGCATGGTCTCTTACCGTGTGTGTGTGTGCGCGCGCGCGCGTGTGTGTGTGTCTGAAGGACGAGAATAGGACAAGGAAGAGGATCGAAAGATCGAGCACGGTCTGTGACTTGTTTGTTAGGGTACTGCTCCGGCATTGGCCTGGTAATGTTTGGAGAAAATATGGAAAACTACGCGTTAGAGCAGCCTCCTGACAACGGCAGGATTTGCTAGCTATTTAGCTAGTGTCGAAAACTCGCCACCGTCGGGACACGAACACCAGGATGTCCCAGTCAAGAGTCGCTGCACAGATGCGACAATGCAGGCTGTGAAATATACTCAGCCGTTAAGGCATAACTCGAAAACGGTGCGTCCAAGCGCTTAGAAACCTTGTTTTTGACCCCGAAGTCCTCAAGTTGTGTTCTTCGCTCTGTTATCAATAAAATGAAATCTTTTGGCACTTTCTTTTACATTCGAAATTCGGCTTTTCTCGGTACCGTGACCCCGCAGTAAGAATGCTCAGAGAAGAATTTTATTTAATTATAGACGTAAATTGAAGCAGGGTCGGGTTTTAATATGCGATCTTTATCGCACGGATACGATAGTTTTACTATTTCGCCTTACTGTGTACTTGCGTAGTAAAAAGAAAATATTGTAATGCCGTGTCAGAAATCGGCGATTTTTCGACTGAAAAACTCGTGTTGCCGGGCTCTGATGACCAGAAAGTTAATAAATATTGTTCCTAAATCTAGTAAATTACATGTTCCAATACGTCGTGAAGTCTGAATCCACGGTTTGTGGGTCCTTGATAGCGAAAAATCAATTGACGAAAATGTCTGCTGTCTGTCCATGCGTTATTAATGTTAGCGCCTAAATCATTCAAATGATATTCTTCAAACCCTTATTACCTGATAGACTTCACACGATTGCGACCACATCATGCCCCAACAAGATACTTCAACGCTAATACTTAACCTGAATTATCTCAAGGTCCTGTGAGTTTCAAACGAATATTTTGATTTGAGGAAGTACTTTACATGGGGCCTCAAAATTTTCTATTCTTTCTAAAAAAAATGTGTCCCATTTTTATTAACCTTTGTCCTCGGATAGCGTAAAGGTCGCTTAAGTAATGGCATAGGTTTCATTTCCGTTGAAATACGTAATTTTTTTTTCAGTGCAAAAGTTCGGCGCTTTCCTACAATAAAATATTGAACACAGATATTTTTACTTAATGCAATCTGTTACTCAAAGATAGGTCTTCAAATAAGTTGATGTACAGATTTTCGAAGATGTGAATAGTTTTCAAGTATTTTTTTGTGAAACACATGCAATTTTAAAACAATTATCTTTTGTCGCCCGCGAACCTTTTGCTCGGGCACCCTCTCAAGTGTAGAGCAAGCACAAATTGTGTTAGTACCTTAAATAATAAAAATATTTCCTAAAATAGACCCTCTTTTACACTGGCCCGCCTGCATTGCGGACTTTGCGGGCCCGAACCTTACGCCACAGGACCAACTATATACAGACTTAAACGTCGGTACTTGACAATATTTACTCTTCTACTTGCCAACGTTTCGCTGAGGTCTTGAGCAGGGGTGGATGATAGATTGATTATTTTATATTTCACAGCGCTAAACTTATATAGTCGTTCCCGTTAGAGAAGAGAATGTTATGTCAAAGGAGATTAATGTGTTCCTTGGCTAAAACACGAGATCTGTGGCAGATCTACACATCGGATGGTGTGGTTCCTGCTATCTACCCAGCAGAGCACCAGCCCAGCCGGGGCCGGCGCCGGCTCTCGCGGCTCATGTGATGTGTAGTACAGTCAAACCTGTCTAAGAAGGAACCTATATAAGACGGAAACCTGCCATCCCGAATAAAAATCTCAGAACGGAACGGTTTATACGTGAAAATGACCTCTACACGCCTAAAATCTGCGGAACGCGGAAATGGAACGGTTTATAGAAAGAGTATATAAGTAAGAGTATAAGTGATTATTACCTGGCCAAGAAGACAATTTATTTTTAATTTTCCCGCATTCTCTTGGGAATAGCATTGGGCGAATGGTCACATCTTGAACCAATAGGGTGAATGGCGAGTTTTTCCTCTTATACCTATTGTCAGGGAATCGGGCAAACTCGAAGACTCTTTCACGGTAACTTTTTCACTCTTTGGTGTGATTTTCGAGGTCGCAATACGCGTGACTTTGCCGCTATTGCTCCAAATTCTTAATGTTAGTCCCTGAAAAAGTCTTATAATCTCAACAGAGTCGCCGAAGTCGTAAAGTTATCGAAGAGTAGAACACACTCAATATAATATAGGAAAGATGTGTGCTAGTATGTCCAAATGTCTTTAAAGCGTATGTGCAAAACCCATACACAAGAAATTTACCATTTCTACCTTAGTGTGTTAACAACAGTAAGAGATGTCCCTTGGCACAATGTGTTGCATACTTTTCGTTAACCTCATTCATTTGCATTAACAAAACACCAGTTGTGTTGTTTTTGTTTCTTTGTTGTCGTTTTTTTCCGGAAATGAGGCATCGTCATAATATTTAGCTGTCTCTACCCAAGTGCCCTCTTTCGAACCTTGCCTCCTCACGCGCCATGTCATTTCTTTTCCCGCCCTCCCAACCTGTCTCCGGACCTCACGTCTATCAGCTGTCACTTACCTCTGCAAACTTCGCCTTGAACTCCAAACGGCTGTCCGTCACCGATGCCCAGTTAAGACGTTCACTAGTCTGAGAACGTCCCTTTCATTTCCTCACATCGCTCACTGCTGGGACGATCGCCAGCACTGGTACCTACTGTTTCTGGCTCCTTCCCCCTCCCTGTCTCCTAGTCTTTGTGACGTCACAGTCTCTCTTCCCTGCCACAGTGACGTATACTACTTCCGAGTGCAGCCGCTGCTGGCACCACCGCCGCTGCCCTGCGTTCTCCGACACCCCGGTTCGCTCGATCCTCCTTCAGACTCACTCCCTCTCTCTCTCCCTTTCTCTCCCTAGCAAGCTCTCTCACTCTCCCTCTCGTCCCGCCCGCCCCGCTCCCGCCCTCGGCCCTTGCCCGTGAGCGCTGCCACCTGAGCCGCCGGCCCCCACGCCGCCACGCGACACGCCGCTGCTGCACTTCCGCGCTCGCATCAGGCAGGCTCGTTATTTCGACTCAAGTACAAGTGCCGGAACCTCTAGGAACAATGACCTGCCTCTGCCTATGAGCCCTTCACGCGAAACAATCGGACGCCCTGCCAACGCAGGGAATTAAACGAAGGGCCACGTTACTTGCAAAGGGGCCGACACTTGCTCTTGCCGCTTCAATGCCCACGGGACGTTTATGGTCATCCGGTCAGAATACGTTTGAGAATAAGATTGAGAGCTACTGATAGGGGATTTACCATCGTGATGTGCCACCTACTGTCTTACGAGGTTTACAATGGCTCCAAGGTACAAATGAGAATATCATTAAAAAGCA